ATTTTAGGTGATCCGTTTGAGAAATTTTGACCCAAATAATATCCTTAATATAATAAATTTATTTTTCAACGTCATATACATTTTATAAATTATTTTTAATCACATAATATTTTTGAACAATTAAATAATAATATTATTTAAAATTTTTACGTATTGACAAAATTAGTATTTTAATGATATTTCATATATGGGCGATTGCACGTGAAACTGACCTATGGCATTTTAAATTTGGATAAATGTTTTTTTTTATTCTTTGTAGAAAAAAAATGAAATACTTTTTCTCTTTACGTTTTTATAGGGTAAGTGTACCAATTCCTGCGCGTTTATAAAAAATAACTATTATTACTATTATATTTAATATAACTGTTGCAAAATGATTAAAAATTATAATGAGAATGTAAAAATTAGTTTAATATTTTTTTTGACACAATTACTTATAAAGATGCACATTTTAACAATTATTAATTTAATTATTTGAGATCAAATTTTTTCCCGCTCGCCGTAATTGAAATTTTTTAAGATTTTTATTGGCTGTAATTAAGGTGGCCAATAAAGTATCTTCAAAATACATGTAATTTTGATAATCAAAATTATTACAAACGCTTCGTAATAGAAAATTACGGTATTGGTTTTAATTTCGTATATGGGACGTTTCACGTCAACCGGCCCAAAGCTATGTCCAAAATTCTATGCAATAAAAATAAACATGTAATACATGAAAATACTCGTAAACTCATCCCCTTTCAATTGCAAAGTGGCAGAATTCAAAATGGCGTCCTTACTATGTCAAGTGGAAGCGGCTAACTTAAGAAATAAGTAAATATATTTATTAATTTCATTTAGAAAATTATGCAAAAATTTTAGGTCACCACATATTTTAATGTTTTCGAGGTCGCTGATTACGAATCTGAAATCAGTTTTTCAAAATTAAAAATGGCGGATCCAATATGGCGGATTATTTTTTAAAAAATTATTGAATTTGCTTGAAACTTGTTAATCGGGGGTTTCCGAGGTCGCTGATTACGAATCTGAAGTCAGTTTTTCAAAATTAAAAATGGATCCAATATGACGGATTTTTTTTTAAAAATTCATTGAATTTGATTGAAACTTGTTACTCGGGGGTTTCCGAGGTCGCTGATTACGAATCTGAAGTCAGTTTTTCAAAATTCAAAATGGGAAATCCAATATAATTACTTTGTGGCCTTTAAAAAGGCCGATTGTTATAATTATGAACTGTAAGAATGTGGTAGCCTTGAAAAAGGCTGATTGTTGTAATTTTTAAACCATAATTTTTTGGTAGCCTTAAAAAAAGGCGTTTGAATTAAATTTACAAAATACATCCAAACCAATGAAATTATATTTTAATATTGCATAACTGCAATAGGATGAGGTGCATCTGAATATTTGAATATTTTTAATTGTTTCTCTGATGTTACAATAAAAGAATGAGCAGATTGAATTTTTGTAACACTAGGTGCTCTAGAAAATCTACTAGCAAGTTTTCGTTTCACTCTCTCGTGTTGTTGCTTGTTGTAAAAGAAAATCTGCGAAGTCTTGATATTTTGCTTAGCCCATAGGTAAAGAGTCTCTGCATTTAAAATGGCTTTGTCTGGTGAGGATTGCAAGCTAGCACGAGTGGCTTCTCTCTTTAAAATAGCTCCTATGCCATCACATGATCCTTTACAGTTGACACACTGTGGGTTTAATAAACACATTTGAACATCGTAAAAAAAATGACAATCGCTAAAACATATCTTACGAAGTCTGAATAAGCTCTTTTATAATTTAGATATCGTCCATGTTTTTACGATGCTCAAATGTTGTTACTACTTACATGAACATTCATGAAAATAAATTATTATTACAGCCGCATTTAAAAAGTTACTAAAACTTCGTTAATCAGTCAATAATGAAATGTACTGAATCAGCCACATTATTTGATTATTCGTTTTCTTCCTTTCGATTTATACAGTTTCTTTGACTCGCAACAAGGTGAATAATTTTATCTACAAATATTGTACCTAATTTCCTTCTCAATCATAGCAGAGAGTAAAGAAAAATTAAGGAAAAGTTGTGTTTGAGGAAGACCTCAGGCATCTCAGAACGCTAGGACTTCAGATTCATAATCAGCGACCTCCAAAACCCCCAAGTAAAAAGTTTCAAGCAAATTCAATTAATTTTTAAAAAATAATCCGCCATATTGGATCCGCCATTTTGAATTTTGAAAAACTGACTTCAGATTCGTAATCAGCGACCCCAAAAACTTTAAAATATGTGGTGACCTTAAATTTTTGCATAATTTTTTAAAAGAAATTAATAAACATAATTACTTATTTCTGAAGTTAGCCGCTTCCACTTGACATAGTAAGGACGCCATTTTGAATTTTCAATTCTGCCACTTTGCAATTGAAAGGGGATGAGTTTACGAGTATTTTCATCTATTACATGTTTATTTTTATTGCATAGAATTTTGGACATAGCTTTGGGCCGGTTGACGTGAAACGTCCCATATTTGTTTAAATAATCGATTTTTATAAAGTTCAAAATTTTTTTAATATCTAAATAACATAAGCTTTTAGTTTAATAAGTCTTAAATTGACCTTATACAATAGAAATGTCGCATTTTCTATTTCAAAGGTGTTTTGACTTAAATCGCGCCGTAATTAGTGCACTTACCCTATGTGCCCAAAATTTAGAGTTATGAATTTTTACTCTCTAAATCTGAATTAGTTAAAAATAACTAATTAATAGTAGAATCTTACTAATTCAAAAAGCAAAAAGTGAGTCACTAATAATTAGTAAAAACTTACTAATTCAAATAGTTATTTTGGTTTAACTAATTGAATTAGTAACTTTTTAATGCGGCTCCCGGAGGCGCAAATTACTAATTGATTAGTTAAGGGCCAGTTTCACCAACTCCGGTTAAAAGTTAATCGGCGATTAAAGCCAATTTAACTGCGCTCATGATTGGTCGGTTAGGGATTTAATCGCTGATTAACTTTTAACCGGAGTTGGTGAAACTAATCCTAAAACTACTAATTGTTTACTAATTCATTAGTCATTATACAATTTTACCGTCAAATCGTAAATAATCAATAAAAATTTATCAACTTATTCATACTAAAATTTTAAATTTGAAAAGTTGAGTTTCAAAGATAAAATTTTTCGCATGTAGTTTCTTCATGATTGTATAAAAAATATTTTATTTTTAAAAGTCAGTTTTCATGGGTTAAATTGCATAATATTGGCAAAATTCATATAAAATTTTTTACGTTCTGGTGGTTCATTTGATATATTATTTCCGATTTTTTTTTGAGTAAAGATTTTATTAAAATTTTCACTTTATAGTAATTTATTAATTTACTTAAAGACAGTTTAGATACACACACATAGTTACTTTTGGTGAAATAAAATTAATAAAAAAATTTTAACGGTTAGTTTATATCAAAAAATTTTTTGAAAAATAAATAATTTCAAAAGTAATATTTAAAGCACCAAACAAAATATTTTGAACATAGTACAAGCTATAGTATCACATAATACTTCAAAAAAAACAGAACAATAATTTAAAAATAATAAATGCTTTTAAAAGTAGTATTTTAAGCATCAAACAAAGTATTTTGATTAGAGTACAAGCTATAGTTTCACATAATACTAAAAAAAACAAAAAAATATTTAAAAAAAACCCATGGAAGATGACATACGTCATAAAAATAATAGAGGTTACGTTCAACTGACTAATTCAATTAGTAACTCGGGTGTAATAACTAATAGAATTAGTTAATTTGATTACTATTTTAAATTAGTAATGTTCAAATACTAATTTTTTACTATTTTATTAGTAAAACTTCCAAAAATAACTAATTCATTAGTTGAAATTTAATTTACTAAATGAATTAGTTAATTTTTTACTAATTCAGATTTAGAGAGTAAAAATCTGGGTAGATTTATGAAGACTCAATGACTTCTAAATCAAAAATATTTAATTTAGTAATTTTTGGCAAGAGCCTTAAAAAAGCCCACAATTTTGACCTATAGTAGACCTTCCTGCGCGTACTCCTTCGCTTTTTAGACAAATTGAGATAATGTAGGAATTGAATTTTTGCAAATAATTCGCGAAATTATGCCGGCCTTAAATTCGGCAATAGAGCAATTAAGATCCTTAAAAAGGCCCTAAATTTTGACCTATAGTAGACCTTCCTGCGCGTACTACTTCGCTTTTTAGACAAACTAAGATATTGTAAGAATTGAATTTTTGCAATTATTTCGCGAAATAATGCTGGCATTAAATTCGGCAGTAGAGCATTCAAAAGCCTTAAAAAAGCCATAAATTTTAACCCATAGAAGATCATCTTACGAGTGTTCTTTATTGTGTGGACAAATTGAAGTAAAAACGTAAAAATTTAATTTTTGCAAATAATTCGCGAAATTATGACGGCATTAAATTCGGCAAAGAGCATTCAAGAGCCTTATAAAAGCCCTAAATTTTGACCCATAGTAGACCTTTCTACGAGTACTCCTTCCTTGTGTGGACAAGCTACCTTAATGTTAAGCTAGCTTGTCTACAAGTTTTTCGAAGTAAATGCCGAGCATTAAATTCGTCATTAGGGCATTAAATTAGCATTAAATTAGCTAGGTTAATGGACCTGATTTCCCCTCCTTTTAAGCACTAGTGCGTAAAAGACAGCGATTTAGTCGAGTTTTTGACGCAAGGTGTTATAAGAAATAACCGAAATCGAATACATCCGTTTAAGGTGAGATTACGGTGATTTTGAGGTTTTTTTCAAATATTTTTTTATAGTAAAAAAAAATTTATTAGTTACATAGAGCCTACAAATTTTAACCGATTTTGGCGTCCTTAGTCTTGTTTTAAATGTTATAAAATTCTGCATAACGCCTCTGATTTTGTTTTTTGAAAAAAAAATTTCAGTTATTTATTTAATGTCAAAGTTGAAAATTTTTTTTTCAGTTTCCCACTTCACGAATTTTGTCTCTAGAATCTTTTGAAAACTACTGCAATATAATTGATGTTTGTAGTAGTAGAGGCCAATAATAACATAAATTAGCGTCACATGTAAAACTTGTTTGTATACGGTAAAAATACTTAACTATGTGTCATAGGAAAGCGTGAGTGCGAGTGAGACGGTAATGGAACAACGCATGAGAGTTTCCTTGTTGTACTTCTGGACTAATTCATAGTTAAGTATTCTTACTGTATATGTATGTATATTTTGGTAGATTATTTGTATTTCATTTCAGTTAATCGTACTGATGAGACGTGTTGATTAAACGCTTTTTAATCTAATTTTTTTTATGACGTTTAATAATACTTTTATTTTGTTATTATTTAATATTTTATATCATAATTTTAAGTCAATAAATTTTTGTAGTTTCTGAAGAGGACGTCAGTGCAGTCAAAAAATAGAACTCCTGCTTTTTATATTTTTACACCTTGATTTGGAGGATGGATATATTTCAACTTATATCTTTGAGAAGATTATTATATGACAGAAGGACTTATAAATTTAAGTAAGTTATATAACTTTATGCCTGAAAGAATTGAGGGATTTTTATAATTTTTAGGAAATTTTATGTACCAGTCTATTTGGAACTTTTAGGACATATGAGTTCTTACAATAATTTGTTCGTGAACGAAGGGTAGAAAAAAGAATTGAAAAGTTGCAAAAATAATTGTTTTCAGAAAATTTCAACAAATTTAGTTTAATTTGAAATTCCTTCGTTCACTAAAAAAGTTATGTAATTACAACAGTCTAAAAGTTCCAGTTTAGAAGAAATCATAGTCACCGATGAAAATAACGGTTATAGTTTTTACAATTATTAATAATTTTCGTTTTGTTAAACTCGTAACTGATCAATAAATGTAAGAAGTTTAAACTCAAAATTTTAATTTTTAAAATACATTACCTTATAGAAAATAAAAAAGTGCAACTTTTTTTAGTAAACATTTTTTTTAAGTCTAATATTTTTGTTAATAAATGCAAAAAAATTGGAAAAATTTCGTTCTCTAATTTATTTAATTTTTAAATCATAAAACATGGTTTTTATTGAAAATTAAATTATTCAAAAATCTTTTTATGAATCAATTTGAATATTTTCAGAAGGTTTCTTTGAATAGTATTAAACAAATGTTTCAAGAGAAATTCTTACAATGTTAAAACTCGCTGCAGACTTTTTGTCATTGAAACTAGAAAAACCTGATTACCGACCAATTTGCAAATAAAAATAATCAAACACTAAAAGTTTTTTTTTAAGTTTTTTAAGATTTTATTGGCTTTAGTAAACTCTAATATGTAAATATATTCAGTTTGAATGAAATTAATTAATAATTATTGGAGATACGATAATTTAAGTTTAAATTAATTAAATTTGAAAAACAAAGTTTTAGAGATTTTTTTGCATTTAATAACAAAAATTAGACTGAGAAGAAAAATTTTTAAAGAAAAAAGTTGTTCTTCTTTATTTTCTGTAAGATAATGAATTTTAAAAATTCAAATTTTTACACTTTTTGACCAGCTTGACTTGATCGAAAACGACCGGACGAGCATAGCTGTTTTTATTATACGCAACCCCTCAATTGTGGTTTGCTTCTTTGAAATTTTTCTAATTTTCAACAAATATGGTTATTGTTTAATTTCAGTGTAATATGATTTACAATAATTTTTTTAATTTATAACGTGTATATTTTCTATTTTAGGTGGAAGAAAAATTAATAATGCAGTAAAAGGAATAACCTAATAAGGGATTAGTACATGATGAACCTGTACACCATTATTTCGCCTGGGATGAAACGTATCCTGAAGAATGTTATTGTAAACATTTCTGCTTAAATTTTAACGATGATGGCAGTAGCAGTTATAAAGATTAAGATTAAGAATGTGATTTTTTACGGCAGTGTTATATCCTAGTATATTAGTCATTTTTTTCGTTTCTTTTATTTTCTTTACTCTATTTCAATTTTTATATAAAATCTGAGAAAAACATTCTTTTTTTCGCTTTACATCTTGTCTTTATCATTTTGTTGATAAAGACTTGTTCAACATAAAATGGTGAGAAATTAAAATATTGGTTTAAATTAAACAGGATATTTTTCTCAAATTTTCAAATATAAAATAACTTAAGCTCAAAAATAATAATAAAATAATAATAAAAAAATAATAATAATTTTTATGAAACAAATATTTATTAATTATACTTCTGTTGCAATGTTCTACGAATGGGCCTTTGCTTAAGAAATTCGCTGAATTTTAATAAAAAAATTAATTTCAACGTCCAATCAAGAGAGTAAAAAATTATTATTGCTAATGTAAGCTGGTAAAAAGACGCCGGCACGGAGAAATGGCTATGCACACGCGAAATTAATACAAGATATATTTAAGCACACTTTATTAGTTTACAATACAGTAAGTCAAGCTCTGTCTCGACACTCTCCAAACTCTCACTTAACTCTACTCTGCCGAAACCCCAAAATTACTTCTTCACAATAGCTCCCCCTAGGTCGTTGCTACTACCCCGTAGTAACGCCTACCATAACTACTACCCCTAGTCAATGATGTGTCCGCCTTGCTCATCTGGTCGTCAATCGGTGGACGGCTTTTTACCCAAAAGCACGCCGTCTCTCTTCCAGAAGATGCTTCACGGCTATGTTGATTGTTTCGGGTGGTAGTCCGTCCATCACCCGAGTTAACTCCAAAATCGCTGGAGTCAGCTCCATAGTTTGGATTTCCGCTGATACCGCTTCCATAACAGTGGACGGTGGAGCATCAGGCCTCTGTCGCTTATCCCTCTCTCTCTCCGTCTCTCACTACCCTTGTTGAAATTCCTCCTTCGATTAAAAAAAAAAAGATAATCATTAGTTACGATCACTGATTACGCGGAGGAAGATATTGTTTAAGGTCAGAGATGTGAATTTTAGGGATACAAAGACTCTCGCTATCGTGAAAGACAAAAACCGTAGGTGATAAATTTTCCACGACCTCGAAAGGGCCTTCATATGTCGGTGCGAGTTTTGTTGCGAAATTCCGTGTACCACTCGACAATTTGTGTGTTTTACGGAGTAATAAATCACCGACGTTGAACAACTCCTCACGTCGATTACGGTTATAGTACTCTGTCTGTCGATCACATTTTCTGTTAATAAATTTCGCCACCAAGTCTCGCAACGGGTCTAACCACTTCACCCTGTCTACCTAATCTTCTGGCACAATTCTCTTAACCTGATCTTGTTTTTCTACCTCCAGTCGCAATCTTTTCACCGGTCGAGGATGACTTCTGTAATTTAAAAATGCGGAAGACGTTTTAGTCGCCGCCTGTGTCGCAATGTTCATAGCATCGCGAAATTCATAAACATGAAGATCCCAGTCGCAATAATCATTCCCTATGAAAGTCGCAATCATGGTCTTCAATGTCCGGTTACTCCTCTTCACAGGATTAGCTTGCGGATGGTAGGGAGGTGTCGTGATGTGTTTGACTCCGTATTCCTGATGGGTTTCCTTGAGGAATTTGTTGTCAAATTCCTTCCCATTGTCTGTCAATAAAAAGTCAGGGGTTTGCCAGCGGAAAAGGACCAATTCTTCAAATGCTTTGGCCAGACTTGGTCTGCTGTGCGATGATTCACTTCTCCCCCTTTTTCTAATGGCTCCTTTACTTTGTTGGTCCTCTGAAATTCCTAGGTCGCGAACCGCCCGTGAATTTTTCTCCTCGTCGCTACTGGAATAAAACTCACTTCCCCTTTGCAGATTAATATTGGGCAATAGTTCTTCATTTGATTCCGTGAATGCCTAAAACCGAAAAAATATCTAAATTCCCTTTATCGTAATCGTCGCAGAAGGGTACGTCAATTTCCGAGGGAAGCGTGAGTTTTAACTCGGCCCGAAAAAGTCGCTCTAGCAAAACCTGTAACGAGCCACTAATACTTAATTGATTAGCTAACAGGCTCGTTACCACTTGTCCTACTGGCATCCCTATGATAACCCGCCAGAATTATTTCGTTTGTGGAATTGTGGACAAGTGACGCATCCTTTCCATGTAAAAGTGCATTCGTTCAATAGCCTCTGCCATTCTGAACGTCCGAAAAATTTAATTGTCGAGAAATAAAAAAGATAATTTAAACTGCAGCAAAATTAAAATATTTTTTAATGAAAATTAATTTTTGGGAGCCCGCTCCCTATTAGACACGGCACTGGTCACTTAAAAGAAATTCCGTTTATTAATCGAGTCGCCACGAAGAAAATCTTTCTTCCTTAAAAATTTACACGCAAAAATGTAAATTAGTTTTTGAAGAGCCCTTCAGTGCGTTGACACGATCCTGGTCAATAATTTTTATACACTTGCTTGACTAGTCGGTAAGGAAGATTTTTCTCCCTAAAATTTTTCATTTATCTGGAACAATCATACAAAAAGCACATAATTACTTATTGTATTTCGGTTAATCGATTATTATTCCATACGGTGATAATAGAGTATTACATTTAAGACTACTCCACCAAGAGTGAAGACAACTATTTTATATTCGGCGCTAACTTCAATCTAATGATTGGAGCGGCAAAATTAAGGAAGCATCAGAAAATAAATTGGTGAGAAACAAAATTTGTATCGTTCCAAATATGTATATTGTCAATTCATTTTTCATTCATTAAAATTTGTTGTGTACCATCATCCATGCATTTAAATAAAGGAAAACAGATGTAAGAAAATTAAGTAAAATTTAATTTAATCGAAGCTATACCATTAACTCGGCTACCAAAATGTTTAGTAATTCGATCAGTATAAATTTCGCGAGAGATACTCAATATTTTAACTTGAGGGTAGAATAATTTATATACGAAATCATATATTTTAGGTAATGGAGAGTTCGATGCAATTAAAGCAAAAAACAGTTGCTAATTTTCCACGAACTCCTTATTATAAATACAAAAAGAACGAGCTATAAAAGTATTAGATTCTTCTTATAAGAATAGCTCGAACTCCAACTGATTTTCAGGCGGACTTTATACAACACAATCTTACCTGCTTATACATACGTGCTAACTCACACAAATAAAAATTTGGCTATGTGATATCGAGGAACGGAACGCGCGTTGCGCATGCTCGTTAGTTTTAACCTAAAAATTTGAAATATTTTCCATAAACAAATATTTATATAAATATATTTTTATATATTATATTATTATATTATATTTATTTTATATATTAATGAAAAACTATATATTAAATATATTTATATAAAAAAATATTTGCTTTCATTCTCATCTTTTAAAATATAATATTTCATTATCGATAAGTATTTGTCTCAGTATTTGAACAAAAAAATCTAAAAATCTATTGATTTTTTTTAGATAAGGAAGATAGATGATTGAAAATAGAAAACAATTAGTAATTAAAGGAAAACTTTAATTATTTAATTTAATAAACAAGGTGCGGACTGAAACGAGTTGTAGTTAACTTTTACAAAAACTGTGAGTTTTCACGGATTTAATTTGCTCATTCTTAAAGAAAATATTAATGTAAATAAAATTCACTCAGCATTTGTTAAAATTTTTAAAAATGGAAGCAAATATAATTTAATAGTTAGTTTTTAACTATATTATTCATTTAAGAACAAAACAAAATTAATTATTCTAAATAAAAAAACTATAATTAAAATTTTTTTAATTATATTAATGTAAAATTATTTTTACTTATGAGTAAAATAAGTCTTAATTCATTAAAAATTTTTGCTGTGTTGAAAATAAATAAACGTAACAAGTAATTTCTAAAAATTCATAACATTTAGCTGCAGCCTCTCTTAAACTTATCAATGTAGATTCTACCACTTCATTAATTTTTATCGAATTAACTGCTGATTTTTGTATTTCCGTTCGAGGAAACAACCCTTAATCAACCCGTCTTTTGTGCCTATTTGGTACACTCCGTTTTGAAAGTTAGTGATAATTCCAATAATATTATTAAAATCAAGTGGTCCTCGATCTACCTCTGTAACAGCAAGTGTGATGCAGTCACCTATATTTAAAACTGGGAAATTTTCTTCCATAAATGTTTACATTTTTTCCGCTTCAACTTTTTGTCTCTCAAAACAATCTTTCTGGACATCAACTAACTTTTTGCCTCTAATGCATAGTGAACATTATGAGACTATCTTCAGTACGTAAATCTAATTCTGCACAATTTATATGTATTTTTAATGCACACTTTGTGCACTGTGTCGATTCATCTGCTCTTAATGAATTATTACAAATTGCACAAATCGAAGAAGTCTCAGTAATTTCATTTAGCAAAGGAGGATCGACAGCCAATTTGTAATGTATTTAAATAGCATTTATTTAACATATATAATGATACATGAGAAAGACAACTTTACTGTTTGAGACATGGTAAAGGAATGACTACGCATGTCATATAGAAGCACACACACACACATCCAATGAGGTCTCTAGTTACAAATGGTAATAAATTACTATATATCCCTATACATCACACTCCTCCGCACTTAGTTCAAAAGTCAAAGTTACAAATCAAGAACAACTCTCGGCTTCCTAATTCTCGATGATCGCCTCAAATTAATACAAATTTCAGATTTATCATCATTAACAACTGTTTCATTAATAATAGATTTATTACAAACCCTTAACTTTTCAATATTTACTTTTTTAACAGGCAAATCTTTTTCTGACAACTCGATTATCTCTTTTGAATTCTCATTCGCAATTCTCCCATCAACATCGACAACCTTTTCCCCTCTCACATTTTCACTTTCCCACTCTTTCCTTTCAAGCGAAAGATTACATGGACGGAGCTGATCAACGTGACGTTTCCAGAGTCTATTATCCTCTGTTCTGACTTGATAAGTAACCGGACCCAATTGTTTCTCGATTTCAGATTTCTGCCAATTATCCGCCATATAATCTTTTGCCATCACAACTTCTTTATTATCAAATTGAATTGCTCGATTACCGTGAAAAAATTTCTTTTGTGCTTCCTGACTACGAATAACCCTTTCGCGAACTTCTGTTTTTAACAAATCAAATCTATTTCTAAATTTTCGATTACACTGAAGTTTAGCTGGAGTAACTCCCGTCGAACAATGTGGAGTTGAACGCCAATAAAAAAGATATTTAACTAACGCGTCCTGACTATCTGTTTCCAATCTGAGCAATTCAAATTTACTCTTAAACGTTTTTACAGCATTTTCGGCAGCTCCATTAGAAGCTGGATGGTACGGCGGAGACTTGATATGGTGAATACCATTTTTCACTACAAAATCTCGAAAAGCAAACGACGTAAAAGTTGGACCATTATCAGTTACTAGTTTGAACGGTAAACCCCACGTACAAAAATACTCTTTAAAAGCTCTGATTGTATTTTCTGCCGTGATATTCTTCATCAACTTTACATCGACCCATTTCGAATAAGCATCGACAATTATCAAAAACATTTCACCAGAAACCGGACCCAAAAAATCCGCGTGAATTCTGTGATTCGGGCCATTAGGCCATTCCCAAGAATGCAAATCTGCTCTCGGTGGGTTATTTGCATTTTTTAAACACATTTCGCACGATTTACTAATCAATTCAATATCTTTATCAATACTCGGCCACCAAATGTAAGATCTCGCTAATCCCTTCATACGAACAACCCCCATGTGAGCACTGTGTAATTCCGCGAGCAATTCTTTTCTCAACGATTTCGGTATTACAATTCGATGTCCCCACATTATGCATCCATTTTCAATTGTCAATTCCCTACTTTTATTCGCGAAATTTTTTAAATCATCCGAAACTTTGCCTGGCCATCCCTCCAGTATAATACGTTTTACTGTCTTTAATTCACAGTCATTTTCAGTTTCATCGCGAAGAACGTCAATTGAAATTACTTCAACATCATTAGTCACGTAATTCAAATAAGTATATTCATTGCTTTCATTGTCAATTTCTTTTTTGTCATTATTAACCGGAAAGCGGGACAGGCAATCAGCTTGATTATTTTTTCCCTCGATATATTTAATTTTATAATTATATCCCGATAAAAATATTGCCCAGCGCTGAACGCGCGATGCCGCCATTAGCGGAATTCCCTTTTTATCACCGAAAATATAAATCAAAGGCTTATGGTCAGTCTCTAATGTGAACAATCTGCCATACACAAATTGATGAAAGGATTTAACCCCAAACACCAACGACAGTGCTTCGCGATCCAACTGAGAATATCCCGTCTCAGCTTTATTCAACGTCGAAGAAGCAAAAGCAATCGGTCTGTCCCTACCATTCACGACGTGCGACAAAATTGCCCCCACCCCATGTGGTGAAGCATCAGTCGTAATTTTCAAAGGTAACTCAGGATCGTATTGCATGAGAACCTCACTAGACGTTAACTTTTCTTTAATTGCTAAAAAAGATTTTTCACATTCGTCCGACCAATCCCATTTTACCCCTTTTTTTAATAATCTATACAAGGGGCTTAATGTTTCCGAAAATCCGCGAATGAATTTCGCGTGATAATTTACGGATCCCAAAAAGACCTGCAACTCTTTAACTTTAGTTGGCCTCGGAATTTTCATTATAGCTTCAATTTTACTTTCTGCTACTTTAATTCCCTTTGCCGACAATTCATACCCGAGAAACACTATCTTTTCTTTAGCTAATTCGCATTTCGAAATCTCAAGCTTTAATCCGTGATCTTTAAGAATTTGTAAGACCTTTTTTAATCTTTCATCGTGTTCCTCGAAAGATGATCCTGTAATCAAGATATCATCAAAAAACACCAATACCCCTTCAATACCAGCGAACAATTTTTCCATTTCCCTTTGAAAAATTCCTGGTGCCGACGCGATACCGAATGTTAACCGTTTAAATGCAAATAACCCCCTATGAGTACTAATAGTAGTCAATTTTTGCGATTCCTCGCTCAACTCAAGTTGCTGATAAGCGTTTGACATGTCCAATTTACTAAATATGACACTCGGTTTTAATTCAACAAACAAATCCTGAATTCTCGGAACAGGATGTCGATCAATTTTCAAATTCGGATTTACAGTAATTTTATAATCTCCACAAATTCTTATATCGCCATTTTTCTTAAGAATTGGAACTATCGGTGTAGCCCACTCGCAACTTTTCACCGGATAAATTACATTAGCCGCTTCGAGTCTATTTAATTCCTTATCAATTTTTCCTTTCAGTGCGTACGGAGCTGGGCGGGGCCTGCAAAAAACCGGTTTGACATCGTCTTTCAATTCAAGATCAAATTTTCCCTTATTAAATGAACCAATTTCATTTGAAAAAACGACATCAAATTGTTTTAAAATTTTTTCTAGATTTGACCTTTCATAAAATTCCATTTTATTAATTTTTTTAGTTTCCGAATTCTGAAAAATGTTAAAAGTCGAAATCCAATCTCGTCCAATAATTGGCAAACCCCCTCCAGGCAAAATAAACAATTCCAAAGCTTTACAATCATTATTAAAATCCACTTTGACATTAACTTTTCCAATTGGAATAATTGGATCCCCTGCATAACTCTGGAATTTTCGATTCGTTTTTTCTAACTCGCACTTCAAACCCGAATTTGCAAAAAATTCCTTAGAAAAAGCGGTGACTGGCGACCCTGTGTCGATTTCAAACTTAAATTCCGAATCTTCAACTTTCATTACAATCTCGTACGGTTTTACATAATTGACCTTTTCAATATTTACATCGTTAATTGCCCATAACTTTTCAAAATCCCCGGACAAATCACAATCTTCAAGATAATTTTGTTTAGACTTTAACCTAACTTTTTCTTTGCCGTCATTTTTATTTTTATCTTTAAAATCTTTAACCGAGTCACCCTTAAATTTACAAACCGCTTCCAAATGACCTTTTTTCTTACAAACATTACAAGAAAATGATTTGAAACGACATTCAGACGAAAAATGATTTAACTTGACACAACAAAAACACTTAAAATTACTTACATTCTTTTTCGATGACTTATTGCTATTACCATTTGAAGACCTCTTGTTGTTGTTGTTGTTGTTGTTGACATAGTTGACCTTCTCAGGATCACCCATTGTTTCCTGCTTTGAA